AGCCCGTCCAGTACGCCGAGCGCATCCACAAGCTTGTCTCCCTCGGCCTGAACGTCGACGAGGAGGTCGAGACCGAGCAAGAGAAGACCGAAGCTGCCGAGGCACCCGCAGCGGCTGGCGAGAGCGCCATGGAGGAGGTCGACTAAGCGCATCGCCCGTCTTGACTGGTTTTGAAAAGTTTGGTCGGCGCTCTGATATCCCTTTCATGTGTCATGGCTTTCTTTCACTTTCTACACCTCACTTGCATGGTACACGAAGCTTAATCTTCGATGGCGTCTTAGAGTGGTGGTACTTTATGCATCACGAGTAATGGATATCCCGAAATGTATCTTACGTAGACTTGCCTCTGGGTAGTTTTCATGAATGATGAAATGTTCAAACAATCTTGACTGTGCTTTTGATGTGGCTTTTGCTTTTGTGGTGTTGATGCATGGCCTTTATGGTCAACGGGGCTGGGCATCGTCCACCGTACCAGCTAGCCATCGACGGTTCAAATCTACTCGCGTTCTTCCGTCATCTCTCACTAGCTTTGCGCTCTGTTTGAAAGATGTCAGATTTGACAGATGCCAGTTTGGTGTTGCGACGCATCTCACAACGTCAGGGTCCAACCCATGCAACGGCGATCGTCCCGTGTCCGAAAAACAGGAATCTCCACAAGCCTGGGCCGTTTCGTACCTCCACAACAGCAGGGATGAGAGGCGTGCATGACGTATGACGGAGCCGCGTTCAAGATGTCTAGAACGCGGTTTCTTGGTACAGGACCATAGACTACTAGATTCTGCCCTCCCTTTTCGCTGTCATTACGATACTTTGACGTTCCAGCACCAACTTCCTGAAGCTTACGTTGTTGTTATTTCGATATGTCGGCCGTAGACCAACTCAAGCAGCAGAATGCTGCGCTGCAATGTATGTTGGTAGATGATGTAAAGGACGGGGGCTAATGCGCGCTCAGCAAGTGTTGGAAACATTTCCAAAGTCGCTGGATCGACCGCGACGAAGCCGGCTTCTACGACTCCGGCAAAGACAGCGACGTCGGCTAGTAAAGCTACCCCTGTGAAGAAGCCTGTTGCGACAGCTACGGATACCGCAGGATCAGCTGCTGCGCCAGTAAAGAGAGTACCGAGGAAGCTCAATGCAACGGGCGCGTCGGCTTCAACGCCAGTAAAGACCACGCCTGTGAAAGCGACCCCAGCAGCATCTTCAACACCAGTAAAGAAGCCCGCAACCGCTGCTTCAGCAAGCAAGCCCGCCTCTACCACCACACCCGTAAAGAAGACGCCCGTCACCACAGGCAAAACACCCGTCAGCGAAGCCTCCAAGCCCGCCCGCCAACGCACCCCCCTCGGCACCACGAAGCCGCTGCCCATACGCAAGAACCCCACAACCGGTGCCGCGCAATCGCAGCCCGCAAGCGCAGTCAGCAAGGCGCCCGTGAAGAAGACAACAACTGCCGCAGCATCATCTCCCGTTGCAAAGACCACTCCGGCAGCGAAAGCAAGCCCCGTCAAGCGCACACCCACCAAGGTAAACCCCGACGGCACAGCGCCCACCAAAGTAAACATCGACGGTACCTACCCAACCCCTCTTGACGTAATCTTAGCTCATCCCGCTCCAGGCCAACCTACTCCTCAGTCTACCATTGCTACCGCGAAGAAACAGCCGGGTATCGTGGGTAAAAGTGTTAATACGGCTACGGGCACGCTGAATAAGACTGTTGGGACGACGACGGGTGGTTTGAACACCGTTACCGATAGTGCTACTACGGGGCTTAATAGCACCGTCAATGGCGTGACGGGGTACGCGGGCAAGGGCCTGGATAAGTTGCCAGGTGGTGTGGGAAAGCCGGTCAAGCATGTAACTGATAATGTGGGTAAGACGGCGACGGGCGCGGTGGATAACGCGTATTACACTGTTGGGTCTGCGACCAAGGGGCTGCAGGGCACGGTTAGTAAGACGACGGGGGCGATTGGTAGGGGTGATGCGAAGGGGACTGTTGCTGGGGCGAGCAGTGGTGTTGGTATGTTCTCCTTTTTCCCATCTCATCTCTAACACATCTTCGTCGATATGCACTTGTTACATACGTCTGAACGCCCCTACTAACACCACCACAGGCAACACAGTAACAGGCGTAGGCAAAGGCGTCGGCAACACCGTCGGCGACGGGCTCGCAGGCCTAGGCAACACTGTCGGCGGCCCTGTCGGCGGCGTCGTCGGCAACGTAGGCAAAGGTGCTAACAACGCTGTTGGCGGCATCACCAGCGGCGTCGGCGATGGCGTTAGTAAGCTCGGCAAGGGCGATGTGATTGGTGGTGTGGGCAGTACACTGGGTGGTGTAGGAAAGGGTGTGGGTGGCCTGCTGGGCGGCATCACGGGGTATGGAGAGGATAAGGAGAAATGAAGGTGCAAGGTTGAGAGGTGGTTGGCGGGGGTTGAGGAGCGTGATGAGGAGGATGAGGGTGTGGAGGAGTTGGGGGAGGGGCAGGAAGAGAAAACCAAAGAAGAAGACGCCAGAGAGGGCGATGGTGTGCGGGAAGAAGGAGGAGAAGGGGAAGAAGCGAATGTGAAGGCTGATGTTGTCGAGGAGGAGGGGTTGAAAGCAGATTCCGTGCATGGCGGAGGGGATAGGGATAGTAAGGAAACCTGATATTATCGCACGTATGTATGTCTATGTAAATTGTTATCCTCATTACTTTTAGCTTACCGACATCTCCTCTACGTCTTCCCAAAGCTGTCTGATGCTCTCTCTCCGTTTCGAGCGGGAAGGTATGCAGGCGCATATCCCCTATCTCACAATAGAACCCAACGCCATATTCCTAACCCACCGGCAGAAACGGCGTTGTGTTGCACAGCCTAACTAACGCTCGCCCGTCCCTCGCTTGGAAACAAGCCACAACTGGCACGAAACCTCGCGCTGATCACTTTGGAGAAATAACGCCGAATCCGCTCCTTCTGCGGTGGCATATATTATACGCGGTATACGGTGGTGCGGGACTGGGTTTGGGACCTGAGTTCGGGGGGTGGTTTTGTTTTGATGGGATTCGATGGAGGGGGTGTAGTTGGGTCTTGAGAATAAGGGGATGGGATGAGATGTTGGGGAAAGGGTGGAAGTGATGATGCGGTTGGTGGTATGGGAGGAGGGCAAGGGAGAATGAGGGGGAGCTACCCGTGGATATAAGGGCTAGTGGAACGCTTTGTGAGGCATTTTGCGGTAGACTTGCAAGTCTATACCACGTTGCCATGTTCAAGTCGTATGCACCGTATGTGAAAAAGGTCGCTGGTACTTAATCATCCACGCTACCTAGGTATCTCACCCTACCTAGGTAACCCAACGAATTACCAAGCTCCCCATCCGGTTACCCAACGGCCCTTCCCAGCACGCCTAACACACCGGGCTTGGTCAAGAAATTGAACCACAAACCTGCGCCTCTTTTTGCGTCGTCACCTCAGCCACTAACCCAGCACCACGATCGGCGCTTGCCCGCTAGCCATCTCGTGTTCCCAAACGCACTCACCCAGAATTGTAATTATTCGCGAACTGGACTTTCGGAGTCTACGCCGGTCCGCGGTGTTATGGGACGCAGGTCTAAATGGCCCGATATACGCTGCGGGGGCTGTGATAGGTAGGTAAGGGTCGGTTTCGAAACTCATTAGGCTTTCGGGAGGCACGTTGCGTCCGGACAGGGAGGGGGGATGAGGGATTTTGAAGGGCTGCATGGTCTGAGAGCCGGGAATATCGTGGCTTGCGCGTCAGGGTTTGTGGAGGGATAAGCTTTTTGAGAAGGCTTGGTATCGTTTTGACAGGTGTCTAGGAAAGCTTGGTATCATGGCTGGTGACGATCGGGGAGTCGTCTGCTCCTATCAGCTTGGAGATGGAACTTTTTGATTAGGCGATTTGCTGCTTAGCTTGCATACATGGGCATATCTGCACCACTTTGCTTTCGTGGCATCGGTTGCACGCAGCAAACAATCCCCCTCGAGCAAGACATCAGGCAACATCTCACGACACGACACACTCAGCCAGCTGTTCCCTGCTTTGACACTGTAGCACGATGCCCAGGGCCCCCCAAACCACTCTCGTAACCTTCCAGATTGGTTTCGCGCATCATCAGCCCTTTTTAACGCCAGCGCGTCGATTCAAGCCACAAGCACAGACGCGCAGAGCGCACGCACTAACCCCATCGCAGCCGTAAACCAGTCGATCAGGGACCAATCCGCCTACCTCCCTCGCAACGTGCGCGGAAACGTGTGGCTGAGCTAGGCAATTATCACCGGCACTATCCTCCTCTCACGAAACGTGTGGAACAATAGCGCGTGCGACGACACCGTACCGGTGTTCCTTCTGGAGACGGTCTTGAGAAGCTGGAAATGTGACTATCGGAACTATTGGCTCGCCGGAGCCGGCGTATAGGATGACCACCGTTTCCGGGCGGCCGCTCATGCAGCGTGAAATCTGTCGTGTGAGACTTGATTATGTGCCTGGGAAAGTCAAGATCGCTGCAAGGATGTCGTGTGATATTCACTCACGCATCTGGGCCCCCCAGTTAAGTTACCGAGGTTTAGCGCCACGCGAGGGTGAATGCAAGCTTGCGCATACATGCCCTGGTTCCAACGCTCATACCCACGCTTGTTTCGAACGGGTTCATAAGCCACTTCTGTCGCTCCCCTCGACTGCACATGTGGCTCACGACGATTGTTACTTCGAGGTACGCAGATATTTCATTGGTAAGTTGGTGATTGAGGGTGTTGTCTGTTCGCTTAATCAAGAGGAGCAGATATACGATAGTGAGGGCTGCGCTAACGAGGGTCTAGATTGCTGCGCATAGCTCTTGGACCATATTACCTCCATCCCAAAGCAGCAGGTTGACTCTATATCGTGAGGTTTCTCCGCTCCGCCGCTGCGAATCCAGAGTCGTTGGGTTCCTCCGTTTCGCCCAAATTCAACGCCTGCGATTTCAACCGCAGCAACGATCCAAGCTGCCAAACACACAACTACGCCAACCATGTCGTCCAACCGACGAATCCCCCTCCTTCTCACCATCATGGCCCTCACCAGCGCATCTCTTGCCGCCCCCACACAACCTGACCCTACACCCCAACTAGAAGACCTCCAATGCCGCTGCCTCACCTTCTCCACCAGCCGCACCCCAACCCCATGTTCCTACCAAGAGCTCCTAACCCTCGACTGGGAAGCCGCCTTCTCCCTCTCCATCACCAACGCGCTGCCCATCCAATTCGCCAGCCAAACCACCATGGACACCTTACTCGCCATTCCCAAGCCCCTCCCGCTTAACCTGCTGCAGAGTATGCATGAGGGAGGGGAGGTTAGTCCCTTGGATCCGAGCAGCGGGGTGACGAGTGAGAACAGAGTTGTCTGTGGGTTTGGACAAGAGGTTGATGGGGTGAGTGGGAGGGGGAGGGGAGGCGTCGAGCAGGAGGTGCATTATGTGGGGACGGTGCTGGGGCTGTTCATGTTGGCTACGATGGTTTGGGTTGCGGGGGAGTGGGTGTGGATGAGGTGGGTTGCTGACAGCTTCCGGGAAAGAGACGCACATACTAATATCTGGCATAGGTTCTTCTCGAGGACTGGAGCTATCATGCTGGAGGGCGATGAAAAGGCTCTAAGAGCCGAGTTCGACGCTCTGACTGCTGAGGTCGAGGCCCTGACCGCTGAAGTCAAGGCTGAGACGAGGAGATTGCCTACCGATTACTCTTGAGGGGAGTCGACGTGATCGACTACCTGATTTGACGACACGGTGGCATCGGCATGTTCATTACGGGATTCCCATCGAAGCGGCGGCCTTACGGCACTCACACCCCTCCCTATCAGAAGCAAGACCACGGCCGAGAAACGCTCGACCGAGCTCCTTACTACCCACCCACACCTACCATCAGCTATCGTCCCGGACAGGCGTATCCCTGGAACATCATCATCCGCACTGCCCTTTCTGAACTCTACTTTCGACGCTGGAGAGGCAAACACAGCGCAGTGACCCCTCCCAGACCATCCAGGAGGTTTTGTTATCTGTCTCTACACACACACGCTCCTGCACTCTGCATCGCGCTATCCCGCACTTCGTCCACCTTCATGGGGACTGTTGAGAGACATAGGCCAACACCACACACACACGGTGGCTGAGGCCCAGAGGAACAATCAGCCTCGTTGCAACAACCAGGCGGGGAATGCATATAGGGGCTCTGGGATTAGTACTGACGGTCTACGAGATCTTGTATCAATAACAAAACGTTACATGTATACAACTCCCTTTTTCACGTGTCTGCACTCCTTTCAAGTGTGAGATGTCTTTTACCATGTGTCGCAGATTCAACAGCTCTGAAACGGTACTGTAGCCGTGTGTATCACGTCATAAGACTATCACATAAGATACACGCCGATAAGTTCAGATCTCATGCGTGTGAACTAGTCATGTTTGAACCAAAGCTATATTACGCATCACTCTACATAGTATCGTAACTAGTTAACATCGCTTTTACTTCCCTCTTCTAAAACCCCCATCGGCCAAGCAAGTAAACAAAATTCGCAAACGCGAAAGGGGTATAAACGCTCTCAAATAGCTATCCCGCCTATACTCCAGAAGATGTAACAGCGGCCAAACAAGGTCAGCTGCTATGTAAGTATGCGAGCGAGTTTGAGACATCAAGCTCAATGCGCCGATTCCGGGTACGAGAGTTGGATTTTGGGTTCGTAAAGCCTGCCAGATGTGTTAGCCCTGCAAATCTTCACTCTTTGCCCGAGTCCGAGGCAACTTACATGAACGTCTCATACCTTACCCCCCTCCTCCTCACCCTATTCCTCTCTTTCGCCATCCCATCCTCACCACTCCCAGCAAACAACACGGGTTCCCAATCGACAACATCCCTCCACCTCTTCATGAGCTTCCGCCAATAACACGCTTCGGCCGCTTGCGTCAGATATCTTTCCCTGAAAACTTGCACCGAGTTATCTGCTATGCGCTTCGCCTTTTCAGGGTGGTCGAGCAGGTCTTCCATAGCGGATGCTAAATCGGAAAAGTCGCGTTCGACCTCGACGAAGTTCTGGTTGGAGCCGTTGGAGCGGAAGAGGTAGTGGTGGTGTTGTATCCATTGGAGTTTGTGCGAGACGATTACTGAGCGGCAGAGTTGGCGGTATTTGAGGGAGCCGGAGTAGGAACGTCCTAGATGGTGTTGTTAGTCTCCGTCGAGTCAAGCTTGATAATGTCAGGGCTGTAGTACCTTCGGCGTGAGCAATGAACATGTAATTACACTGATCCACCGGGCCCAGAAACTGCTCTTTGAAATTTGGATCCGTCCACTTGAGTTGGCCAACGTCACTCCATGGCTTGCCCTTTGCTGCATCGAGAAGCGCTCTCCGCAGCTTAGGCGCGAAAGTAATTTTGCCTCTCCAGACTAGCTTCTCGATCTTTTGGTCCCACGACTCGACGGCTTCCCGTTGTACTGCTTCTTGAGCGACTTCGTCCAGTGTGCCCAGCGCGGGCATGTCCCAGCTCCAAAACCCAAAGTCAGGTATCAGCCAGAGGTTGTGGTCTTGGACGCGGCGGGTGAGGGACCATATCGGTTTGTGGGGTTGCGCAGGGAGGTCCTCTACGGAGAAGACGAATTCGATGTTTGGGATATCGGCGGTTGAGGGGGCGGCGAGAACGGCGCGGTATATGGCGCTGAGAGTTGCAATGGCTTTTTGGCGGTTGACGTTATCGACCATGTGAGTCTCGAGGATGTAGAGCTGTTGTACGTTAGCATGCGCTCAGCACTTGCCAATTGTCCTGGACTCAACAAACCTCTCTATCATAAACCATAGCCCTCACCATCCCCTTCGTAAGCTCGAAGCTATTGAGATCCGCCTGCGTCACCTTACCCCAGCGACTCCGCACCTTGACCGCACGCTCAATATCCTCATATTGCCCCGGAAAAGCGCTGTCGCACTGCGCCTCATCAAGCCCATAATTATTCTTATCCCTTGGATACGTAAAAGTCCACAGCCCATGTTCTTCCAACTCGGTCGCATTAGTCGTGAGAATAGCCTGGTTTGCAGCGCAATCGAGACAAGTGTCGCAGGAGAACGTCGTACTGAACTCGCATAAGCAGCGGCCGGCGGGCATGTACTCTTTGACCAGCGGGGGCAAAGACGGGTTCTGTGTGCGCGTGCCGTAGAGAATGGTGCAGATGATGAGGAAGAGCAGGGCGCATGCCGAGACGAAAAAGAAGGAGAGGACTTCTCCGCCAGTCGGACAGCGGCGACGGTATACAGTCTTGTCCTTCCGCTCCTCCACTATCCACATCTTCTTCATGAGCATGGGTGCTAGCGGGATCCGGGCGACGTGAACCGGAGCGACGATGGGGGGTGCGGGTAGCGTGGACACGCGAGCGAAGTCGGTCGCGCGTGTCTATATTATCGAAATTGGGGAGCTTCGGAGCGTGGCTGGAGGCGACATGGATGGCGACACTACCAATATGAATATGTACAAGTGAAAGGGAAGCGAAGCGCTATGACGGCGTCGACGAGGAACGAGGGTCGGCACGCGACTGGCAGAGGTGAAGGGTTCCAAAGACGGTTGTGGAAAAAGAAGAGGGGCGGCGATGGGGACAGCCGGCGGGAGGAATGACGATAGACGCTTCACGGTGGAGTTGGCATGGTGATGGACAAGACGGGTTGCCCCCAATGGGAGATACGGTGAGGGCGTTGCGGAGTGCAGTGCGCGGCGGGATATTTAGATCGGTCAACGCTTAGCACATTACAGTAGTACGTATGACAGGGGCGAGAAGGTACCGACGCCTCAGATGCACCTCGTCGTTACCTCAACACTATGTCTCCAGATTATTCGCAAGCAGATACTGTAACCCCGAGTGCGAAAACAAGAAGAATATACACTATATCTGCATACAATCCTGTACAAATGACCTCTACCACACACGCCCCGCCTTCCCCACGCGTTGTCTGTCGTCCACGGGTATGTCAAGCATTCGGCTGCACCCGCTGCAGGATGCGAATACGAGCATAAGATCCTCGTCTATCAACTTCAGGCCCCCCGTGCAACTTCAGGTGCAACTATGATAGAATACCAGCACAACCGCACTGCATCCGTCGTGAGATGCGACCCTGCGCGCGCTTACCTTGGAACTGTTGAAGCACGCGCGGCCTCTAGCACCTGCCAGCCCAATCCAGTAAGGTGGCGCACGCGACCCACCTGCATTTCCTTGATGTCATTCAAGCCACCTGCTTCAAACGTGTCTAAGTGCATTGTCGAGACTATTGAGGATGGCAATAGTGTAGGTATCATCATTATACCGGACTGCGAACTCATGCATTTACATTTAGCTTCATACAAGTTCATACGGTAGAACGCGTACGTCTTCGTATAGCGCATATACACATACTTGGTCAGTAGCGTCCTGCGGCAGTTGAAATATACCCGACGTCAAAGCAAGTGTTGATCCATCGGGCATTAAATTCTTCTGCGTTTGTGGGTCGTGGGCCAGTTCCATGGTTGTCACACTCGTGGGTAGTGGGTCACCCGTTGCACGTCTGCATCTGCGCAAGTGCCGGTGTGGAGTACCTTACATCATCGAACCACGACACGTTTAGAGGGTGGAGCTTACGAGAGTCATGGCAGATTGTGAGGACGTTGGCTTTTATGATGGTGATGGACATGCAGTCGAACGTGGCAGAAGAAGATTTGAACACATCAGTGGCACGATATTCAGCTCATGGGATATTCGCATTCCATACAAAGCATTCACAAACTTTCCAACCGGCGCTCAACCCGCTATACCTTGCGAGGAGGCCATCAATGCTATGCGTGACTCCTGGATGCAACAGTCAAAAACAAAAGAGACACTAAAACCATATAACGTGAAGAAGCCACACAAAGGTAATTGACCAAAATATAGATAGAAAGGCTATGTACATGAGAAGCCTATAAGTGAAAGAAGAAGCTCGAAAAAAAGAAGGTAAGTAGGCAAAGAAGAGGAAAAGAACAAGGAGCCTAAGAAGTTTGAAATCGCTGGGTGCTTCCATAGCAACCCTAACGAGAAAGTGGGATCAGCGACCAACAAGCCCTACAACAGACTGCAGGGAACATGTAAAAATGCCGAATGTATACGGCGGCGCTGATCCTCACCTGTACAACACGTCTGTCGTCTACGCCGACAAAACATGCATATCCTCCTCATCCGCATCTTTGCGGATTCCAAACGGCTGAAAGGCATTTGTCTTGCCTTTGTGAGCGTGTACCGCGAGTCCCATCTCGCGCATGCGTTCTGCACCGCGACCAGGAGCGGGGCGCTTCTCTTTGGCACCTTTTCGGTGTTGCTTGCGGTACAGCTTCTCCTTGCGTCGTTGCCTCTTCTTCTCGAGCCCGACTTTGATGTCAATGGCGCGGCGGATGGGCATGTCGGAGCCGTCGGCGTCTTCGTCCTCGTCGAGGTCGAATGGGTTGCGCATGGTGATGGGGGTGCGTGGGACAGAGGCTGAGACTGTGGGTGCAGGGCGCTCGGCGATGCCGGCGAAGCGAATGGATGTGTCGCTGCGTTGACGTGTGGTCATGGTCACGGGGTTGACGGAGCCACGGCGTGTAGGTGGTGGAGACCTGAGGCGCATTGGGGGCGGAGGAGAATGGTGGCGCTTGGGGGAGTTTCCAAACAGCTTGCGTGGTGGAGGGGAGCGATGCACAGCACGCTTTGCGGGTGGAGGAGATCGTAAGCGCTTCGGTGATGGCAGAGGAGAACGCTTTTTTGAAACCTCTTTGCGGCGACCTCGTCCATCGATGTTGACAGGGTCCATGCGGCCATGAATCATGAGATGATCAGTCTCGGAAGCTTTCTCATCTTCAGAAACCTCATCCTCATCATCGTCAGGAAGCTCCGGATCTGATGTCGGGAAGGTAGGGTCGATGTCCTGTGGAGTAGGCTTGTGCTTGGCCGCACGTCGACGTTCGAGTGTCGACATGTACGCAGCTTCAGCTGGCCTATCCTCATCAAGTGTACCGCAAACAAAATCTGTGCTGTCGGGCAGCTCAGGGGTGGGAACGCGAATGTTGACCGGCTTCGATGACTTTCTGCGCTTGGAAGGCTTGTCCATGATCTTGAGACCCTCACGGCTCTCCAGGGACCCAATCGATGATTCAGAGACGGTTCGGTGAGTCTTCAGTCGAAGCTGTTCCAGATGCTCTACAGATGTCGCTGCAGTTGATGCTCCAGGCGCCCACCAGTCGTAGTCAGATCCGGCATCGCTGTCGTCATCTGAGACGGCAAATCCATTCTCATCGTCAGTCTGGAAACCCTCGTCAGTCGCATCGCTGTACGCGGCGTCGTCTTCATCCTCGTCTAGCAGATCGTCATCGTCGTCATCCATTTCGACGTTGTCCTCATCATCGTCCTCGTCCTCTTCATCAATGGCCTCCTCTTCAGCAACCTCTTCGCCTAGCTTACGCAGGTTGTTCTCAATCTTGAGAGTATCCTGGACCGTAAGCCGGCTTCGATGGCAGGTAACTTCTTGAGTCCACTCTTCGACCTCCTCTTCTGAGCTAGCAAACTCGTGGAACCGGTATGCTTCACAGCGGGCAAGGTCGGAGTTGGAACTCAAGCGCCGCGTGTGGTCAACCGGGCGGACTTTACGCACGCTCACGGGGGAATTGTTGCGGACCGTAGAATCAGAGTCGCGATGGACTTTGGTGGTTGGCTTAGGAGACGAGGGTATCCGGCGTGGTGGCGGTGCGGGGCTAGCCATGCGGCGGGGTTTTGGCGCTGCTTCTGTAGATGGCTTGGACGGGCACGCGAACTTGATGGTGCAGACGCGCTTAGGGGGTTCTTCTGCTTGAGGAGCAGGCGCGGGCTTCGCAGGTACCTCTGCTGGCTTCTTGTCCTCCTTGGGCCCGCACGCAAACATGATGCGCCTCTTCCTTCCCAGAACAGCCTCGATGCTCTGCTCGGTGCTCTGAGCAGGCGCGGTCTTGGGTACTGGGGTGATGTTCTCGTCGTCGTGTGAGACCACGGAGATGGGTAGCTCCAACGGCTTGTTGTTGAACGTGGGCAGCATGCTGTGGAACGCTGCCGAAGGAAGTGGCGGGCTCGGCGTGCAGGGCCGTGTGCCAGGGCTCGTGAAGCCTCCATCGCTAGTGAGATCTGCGGTGCCGCTGTTGTTACTCCATGTCGAGACGCACGACATGCCGCGGACGGGGCTCGCATCCGAGTGTTCCTCAACAGGCGAGCTCGCGTTCGAGCCCGACTTGAGCGCAGAGGTAAGGAGCGATGCTTTGCGGTCGATTACGGGCTTCGATTTGGTGAAGGATGTGGAGGAGGAATGCTGGAGCACCAGGGGCGCAGGGCGTTGCGCGCGAGGTTCAGGGGGTTCGTCCAGGTCGCCGACCGCCTCCTCCTCTGCTGTCATATCTGGCGGACATGTATTCGACATGTTCTGCTGTGTGTTTACTTGCAACGCGCCCTGTCTAGCAAAGTAATCCTGCTCGTTCGCCATGTGTTCTGTATTCGGTGGTGTGTCGATCGAAGAACGTGCGTGGGGTCGGTGCAAGGTCGTGTATCAGATTCAATTGCTGAGTGCGAATAATATTTCGAAGTGATGCCGTAATAGTGAAGTTGTGTGGTCGTGATGCAAGCGGGTGAGGCGTTTCACGGTTTCTTTTTGGCGCAGTGCACCTGGCGCAGCGTTCCTGGACCCTCGTTAGAGCAGGAGGCGTGCTATGTCGATCGTGTCGAGTGCAATGCAATTAGAGGCGGTTCGGCGGATTACTGCTGGGCGGTATGGATGGGTGTGTAGGAGAGTGGGGCCCCAGTGAGGCGAAGTGTTATAATATGGACAGAAACATGGTGGAGCAGTGTGTGAGGAGCCGTGGGTGGAACTAGAAGCGGGCTCGAAGACGTGTCAGAAGCGACAAGCGTCGGGCAGTGTCGAGTGGGAAGGGGTACCTGGAGAGGATGAGGTCGAGTTCCCACAGCGACAGCGACGTGTGGCGACGGGCCGCAGGCTAGCAGAGGGCCCGTTGACAAGTGCGTGAGTGCGCGGTGCTAGGGACGGTGCAGATCGAGAGCCAAGCTGTGCTGTCAGACGACTTCAGACTGCAACAGTAGTGGCGCAACGCAGGTGGGACTGGTGGTAGGAGAGAGGGAGCGAGGAATTTGATATGCGCTCTGGCGGCTCGGCACCATCTGGTCTGCAAAGCACAAACAGTGGGTAGCCGGCATTTTAATTCGCGCCCACGCCCGCGCAGCCAATGCCACGCTGGGCCTTTGTCAATTGTGCACTGGTCTAGCAATGCACCTGCTCACGCTGCCACACCTGCACTTCCGTGACACGAGCCCTCTGGCCGTCAGATTCGGCAATCTATGCGCGCAGTCACCCTCACTCATCAACAATCAATGAACTTTGTTGCGGCTGTTGTATTGCTTTGTTATCGCCTTTGTTGTTGATTATTGACTTCCTCCCCTTGTCAGTGCGGAGATGACATCTGCGACTAGAATACTCCAGCACCTGGGAGTACCCCAAAGCAGGTTTCATCCCTCCAGCACAGCCGATGCAAGACGCAATCGAGCAGCGCAGCCCATGCCAACCTTCTTTCCGCAAGCTTCGGAAGCAGGACCCTGATCAACGCGACGCCGCCGACAACGCCCCGCTAGCCAGCCCTCACACCTTCTTTTGTACCATCTGTCCGACGTCGCATGCATCAACACGACCACATGCACGCCCTCTGCTCAACCCCAAGCACAGCGGCTTGATACCATTTTCCTCAAATGCCTCATTCCTCGCCATGTCTCCATACCTCCTTCCTTCTCCCTTCTCTCAGCTCCACATGGCAGCTTCATCTCTCGCAACCACCTCCACACCGCTACTTGACCGCTTCTCCTACACCCGCGCCTCACCTTAGTCCAAAGAGGACGCGTCTACACTGTAGAAAGTAGTCCATCATCTGACTCCATTCAAGCCTCAAGAACGGGATATCGGTTGAATCCACCGTGCTCTGCCGCCAATCTGCAGCTGCACGATACTTGTCGTGCATCGCCGCCTGCAGTGCCCAGCAAGAGCCCTGGAGGGTCCATCTCACGTCTGGGGTTCCGTTCGCTGAGACGCAGTACAACATTTCGCCAGCAAGCGCCTCAGCCGGCTCCAAACGAGCCTGTCCCAATCGCCGACATTGTATTCGCGGGGAAGGCACCCGTACCCCATGACGCGTGACGCTCCTGCTTAACAACCCCCACGCGTGGTTTTCGCGCCAATGCCATCGTCCTGTTGCTTCGTACTCCTCCATACGTATCTGCTACGGCTGTGTAGGAAGAAAAGGTACCCCACACAACTTACGCAGTGTACAGTACGACAGCTTGGGTATTACCCGGTATCCGGCACGGCTTGCTACTTGCGGTCAGGCCTGAACAGCTGTCTGCCGTCCTCTTACATCTAATCCTTGTCTCTGCATCGCAGTATGACGCAGTTGCTCCCTTGCCATTCCCGAACAACCGATCCTCATCATATGCGCGTGATATCAGCAGCGTCGTAAACACACATACATCGGCGCTCTCCTCCACCAGCACCACGTGTTGGAATGTGGAGAGTACGAGCGATGTAGTTTGGGATTACCCCTCATTTGCTAGTTAGACTCGGCAGCGGCGCGCGTACTAATGTTGCTTGCTTGCGCCATACTTGCCTGAAGTGTGCAGTGTGGTTTCAAACTGGCTAAAACGTTAGAAGCTGGGTTACTCGTCGCGACATGCGAAGAGCTAGCAGTGACAGACCGGGATGATGCTTTGCTGCGAACAAGACCCTTGGTTCACAATACGCAGAGAAGTACATCGACAGTGCATCTTGGAAAAGAAGTGTATGCTCTGCACACCTCTAGACCTGAACATCTTTCTCGCATCATCATTCCACATCACCAGACCTTCCCTCCCCTGCTCTTCACCACACTAATCCCATCTCACCCATCACCCACCGTCACACAACAACGTCCCGTCGATCCCGCACCTGGGGCAGCCGCCTAAGCTACACACAACCTTCCCCCCAAGACACTCCTTACTTCAGCCAAGCGGCTCGGCATTTCTCCTAGTCACCTGCTTGTTTCACGACCCGCTGATCCAGTGCGAGTAATACCGAACAAGAGACCAACAACATATAGTACACTGGGGTAAACTCCGGGGAGTGCGTGGAGGCTATGGGGTAAGACGATTGCTGGAGATTGGGTATGGGACACAAGACAGGTACTCTGTCTAACATTCTTTCCCTGTAAGTTGTAGTACCAGATACGTGCCTCATACATCGCACAATACAGATATTTTGCTGAACGTTCATGTCAGAACACCTACTCACTATCGAGAACAGCTGTGGTGATTCTCGTCTCGCCCCAAGACTCGCCCCTATGCAAAGATATCGCTTTCTCGGTGTAGTGAATTTCTATTTACCAGACGTAAAGCTGCACTTAAAACTCCATCTTATTCATCCTCACCAGGTATACTCAGCCTCCTCAACTCCTGAATCTGATTCCCCAGCTGCCGCTTCTCAACCTGCAACTCCCTCCTCCAATTATCCCTGACAAAATCCAGCGTCCGTGCAAACACCAACTCCCTCTCACTGCGCTCATGCTGAGGTACAAAAGTATCCGGAAACTGCGTCCAACCATGTCTGCACCCAGGTGCGTGCCACACTTCCATACCTCCGTTCTGGCTACTGGGCACATTGTCTGATCCCGCTTGTCCACCTTGCCGGCCGTCCCAGTCGCCTGAGCGCCCGTCGCCGAAGCGTACAGGCCCGTTCCAGTCGTTGTTGTTCATCTTGTCGACCCAGACGTCGCTTTGCACGGCCAGGGTGTCTTTTTCGGGGAGGACGAGGAGGATGGCGGCGTTCTTCTGGATGTGCATGGGGTCATTCAAACCGGGGCTGGCTCGCGGGTGCGGTCGTAGTTTGCGCGGGAGGTAGGTCGGGCCCATGATTGAGAAGAGGCCAGGTGCTTTCGGCTTCTGTTTGTGGTGGTCATCTGGCCGTAGCGCGTTGGGTAAGGGTTTCATGGGGCGCTCGTGTGGGAGTAGGCGTGCGTCGAGCGAAGGGTAGAATAGGAGGAGCGGCAGCATGCGGGGCTGTGCTTGAGGGGGAGGGAGGAGAGAGGGCCACGACTCGAAGGGATCGTCTAGGATAGTGGCTCTGCGGTTTTCGGGCATGATGGGCGACATGGTGTCTGCATGCGCAGGCTCATTCGTGCGCGAGCGAGGACCGATCGTAGTCGACATGCCGAGTTCAGGACAGGGCGGTACTGATATAGCCATGTTCAAGGCGATATTTCCTCCTGCCGAGAAGCCTGAGATCGCGAGACGTGTAGGGTCGAGGGTGATGGTCTTGACGTGCTCAAGATGTGGTGCAAGAGGTTCCTTCTTCTTCTTTTCCAGTGCGCCATCCCGTACTATGGAGTAGTATCGCTGAATTTCCTCTCTAAGGACCTTGCCGGCTTTCGAAACTCCACTCGTGTCTAGGATCGCGGACAGCACGTCTTCCGCGTCGTGAATAGCGGCGGGGAATTGGTGGAAGGGTCCGATGCGATAGGACACGCTGATGACTACGGCGCCGAGCTCACGCGACATCATCGACGCATACGGGGCTTGCTCCAAGGGCGATCCCATTATGAAGCCTCCGCCTGGTTTCGTTAGTCATGAGCGTTCTCAGAGACATGCGAGTTCCATACCATGAAAATCCAGCACCACAGGCACACGCCATTCCCCAGTCTCTTTCCTCTCCTGGTCGCCATTGCCACCGAGATCGACCGGTTTCGGCGGAACAAAGACGTAGCAGTAGATGAGGTTGCCCTTCCGACTCGGCAGCGATATGAGGAAAGGATGCGGCCCCTTAGGCGACGTGACGTGTAGGATGGAGAGAGGAACGAATCGCGGTATTTGGACAAGCGCAGTGCTGGATGCAGTCAGTGTCGGCCTCGCGCATTATTCGTTACGGGATATCCTACCGCCATTGTATGTGGAAGGGAAGGCGGAAAAAATAGGCAATCGAATGGAAATAGCTGCTCATCGTGATTATGACACGGAGGTAGACAGGGCGACGGCGGTCATGACGCGGAGGACTCGTTGTATGCGGCTGCGTCACGCATTGAATGCTGAGTGAGCAATGTGCGTTGCGCGTTCAAAAGGACTAAGGGGGACGCGGACTGTGTGCCCAGCTGGAAGGCACGGAAGCCATGGTCGGGTGTGACGTCAGAAGTTGTTCGCGCTGCGATGCGATACAGGGAGATCGTGCGTTGCCGAAATTGTTGATGGTGTTTCAAGCCGGCCCCGGCTAGGCCAAAGCTTGATTGCGCGAAGCATCGCAGGGGTCATCCACCACACCTGGGCACTTCCTATTAGCACTGTCTTGTGTCAGTTCATGCCCAATGTAGATACCTTCTGGTTCTGATTTTCACAACTCCGGGGCATACGCCTATGTGAAGAGGACCCGTTGAATGAACGTGCTTGTTGCTACACCTGGCAATGTCAAAAGTATCGAACGTCACATCACGAAAGCATTGACAAGAACATGGTTTCCAGATTTACTCTGATATTTGGTATATGTAGACTAGCTGACCATGATCATCATGCCACATATCAGCGGTACTGCACCCTGCAACTCATATGCAAGGCCCTGGACCACCGCGAAGGAGAAGTCGTTGTCGCGTCATGTCGTGAAGCGTGAGTCGTTAACCGGAGTACTCAGCCTGAAGCCGTGGAGGCGCAGGCGACGAAAGCAAGCCGCATGAAGCAGGCTAGCTAAGCACTTTTGGAAGACAGTGAAGGACTTTGGAGAACCAAAGCAGCTTACCAGGCAGCGGCCTTGTCGTCGGCGTCGGCATCAGCAGAGAAGCCTCCTCCACCTCCACCGAAACCGCCGTCATCGCCACCGAATCCAGTATCAGCGGCAGCCTCTCCACCGAAGCCAGTAGCCTCGGCGTCGAAACCTCCCGCGTCACCACCGCCAAAGCCACCACCAAGACCGTCATCAGACTCATCGTCAGTGCCGTCGTGCCACTCGATAGTGTTGGGATCCTCGGGCATGTGCTCTTGGAGAAACTCTGGAATTGCCTGCTTGCTCTCGCACAGAATCTTGCAGAGGTCTTCGCCAATATCTTCATTGCGGTCGTTGAAGAAGGACGTCGCCTTGCCCTCATTACCGATACGCGCGGTACGGCCGATGCGGTGAATGTATTCTGTGATACCGTCATGCATGGTTGACGGAAGATCGTAGTTGATTACATGCTTGACATTGGCGACGTCCAGACCACGCGCAGTGACTCCGGTAGCGACGAGAATGGGACAGCGGCCGGTACGGAATGAGCGAAGAGCATCTTCACGCTCACGCTGTGTGCGGTCTGAGTGGATCGAGGTGACAGGCATGCCCTTATTGTACAGGAAGTCATCGACCATGTCGCACTTCACCTTGGAGTTGGTGAAAACGAGGGTGCTGTAGTGACAGAGTTAGTATCTTGCGCTCGTCGTAGATGTGAGAGGGCATTGTACGTACCGCTGAGGGCCTTCACTGAAGATCAAGTCAAACAGTGCCTGGCTCTTGGCGCTCTCCTCGGCGAAGATGACTTGCTGCGTTATGTTTTGGTGGGTGCTGCCAACCCTACCGACCTCTGTATATTGTGAGTGGGCTATTCGTTAAGCAGGGGAGATGAAAACATACTGATACGAACGCAATCCTCATCCATGTATTCACGTGTCAGACGACGAGCTGACTTGGGGAATGTGGCGGAGAACATGAGATACGTGTGGTCGGCGTCGTCGTTCTGGTCTAAGCGGTTGTCAGTAGATGATACAAAAGATGATCCAGCAAGTAATTCTTGGAAGTCCATGCTGGGGAGGATGTGTCGACATACCTGAACCAGCGAACAACTTCTCCATGGCCTCTTCCCAACCAGAGGAAAGGAGCTCGTCAGCCTCATCAATTACGGTAAACCTGTTCGTGTCAGTCAGTTGAAGCACCTTACAAGATTGCTTGACTTACTTCAGGCGGTTGAAGGACAGCAGGTTGATGTTCGACATGAAGTCCATGAGGCGACCCGGAGTCGCGATGAGAATGTCACAGCCCATCTCGAGCTGTTCCCGCTGATTCCTGCTGGGGGCGCCACCGTAGATGACGCAAGGACGCAGCATAGTGCGGTAGCACACTAAAAGGAGGGTATGAAGTCAGTATGTGTCTCACATGAATTTCCTACAGGGGTACCTACGACGACGCGCCTCGTCAAAGATCTATCACAAACCCAGGTCAGTATACGTTCAGCATGTACTTCGTATGATGGAAACTTACCTGGCAAGCAAGCTCACGCGTAGGGCAGACCACCAGGACGAGCGGCTCCGCACGGACTTTGTCGGTGAGAGGGTTGTAGCGGACCGGGTTGGGGCGCGGCGCAGCGAGTTGACGGGCCTTGCCCATGAGCTTGGACAGAATCGGGAGGAGGAACGCAGCAGTCTTGCCGGAACCTAGGTAACGTTAGTAAGAAGCAGAGTGAGTGAGGACGAGGCGACTTACCAGTCTGTGCAACGGCAACAACGTCGTGTCCAGTCAGGATGGCAGGGATGCAGTAGGACTGGATCGGAGTCGGGTACTTGTACTGGCACAGCTTGACGTTTTCAAGCATGATCGGGTGGAGACCTGCATCTTCGAACTGACAAAAGTTAGCAATGGAGTGCGCGAAGACCTTCAGGCCCAAGGTGCAGTGACTTACGTTGCGGACGGGGCTGATCTTGGTGGGACCCGAGAGAGTCACGTCGAACGAGAGCGCCTTGATTGCACCACCGGCGCGCTGGAGATACTCATCGGCGAAGAGCATCTTCTCGAGCTCAGGGTTAGGCTCTCCAACATCGCCGAACTCGTCGTCCCACTGGTAGATCGCGGCGTCAGAGAGCCAGACGGCGGTGTCTCGGGTCTCATCTTCAGCGGGTGTGCCACCGACGACGCTGTCGTACTGGAAGGGAACAGGATTGTTCCATCCAGCTTCCTGGGCGCGCGCAAGATCTTGAGCCTGCTGCTCCTTGCGGGCAGCGCCGGCGTCGGTCGCAGTCGCCTCGGGAGCTCCTGCGTCAGACATGACGATGAGGGGAGAAGGTAGTAAGTGTAGAAAGTGTAGCTATTGCTTGAACGAGACTGCTAATTGCAGCGTGGGTGAGAGTTGGGGATGTGGGGTATGGGAGTTGGAGGTGGTGGGGAGAAAAGCTTGCGTTGTTTATATGGACAGAAAGGGTAGGAGCTGTGCGCAGTAGCGTCCCTTAGCGCGCTTTCCCAAGGAGATACTGGTGCCTGGGTGACCACGACGATAAGCGAGAGACGAGAAGCTTCCACAATTGAGGTGAGTGAGGATAGGTGAAGGAGATAGTGAAGGGACTGCCGGCATCTGTCCTGCGGTATCGAGATGACATCGACGCACTGTACGATGATGCAGCAGTTTCTGGCAGCAGTGACGAGTGGACTGTCATCCTGGATCAAGCATGAACGACTCGACTCAAATTGAAGAAGCAGCCGGCCATGTAAAACCCGAGCTCTTATATCTAGCACGCAGGTACAGTGGTGAAGTGACGCTCGAGGCGATGGCCCCACGGTGAGAAGAATGGTGAGAAATATGGAGATGGCGAGGCCCGCATGAGGAGTTCTATCAGGCTGAAAGTGATATGTTGGTGGGAATTTAGATCGATCTACAACAGTACACGTCTGACATGCTCATTCCCATCTTCTCACACAACAACAACATGGAAGAATTGTTGCTGAGAGCAGCGAATAGCTGTTGGCTTCCTTTCCTCTTACTTTGAACGAAGGTGTACTTTTCTGCCTCTAGAATATGTGACAGTCAGGGCGCTTTGCGAATATGAGGACTGAGAAATGACTTGACAATGAATTGGTAGATGTCGATAAGAATGGAAGGATGCAATGGGAGATCTTCTTGCATATACACACGTACTGAAACTACTATCTCATGATTCACATTCGCAACAAGGTCAGTGCTGTCGAGACTTCGCTTCGTTTCACAAGTCGTTGTGTAGGACCAACTTACATTTCCAACCCCTTGTGAGGTAGATGCAATACACGTAGCCCAGACGGGCCTGTATGCACATAGCACGACTCTGTAGTGTATATTACCTGTGACGTGTAAGACAGTACGGAATCGCGGCCACAAGAAGTCGTGAATATGTGAAGAGATGCAGAAGACGTCTACAGCAGTCGTCGTCAAGACGTGACCCAAGGAGGACACTATGCCGGAACCGAACTGGTGTACCGTGCCTGAATCATGCATGGCGGGCCGACTGAATCACACACGCGATGACGCGCCATGCATGCCGACTTCAACTTAGCTCATAGCCGTAACGTTCGTCTTCTTGGCCATAGCGATCGAGATGGCGACTACGGAATCGCGGTGGTCAGCTATACGTTCTGCGGTGCATAGGGGAAGGCGCTACTGACAAACTTCTTCGCAGCCCCCGCGGCTTCCTCAGCCCCTCGATCCTCTCCTCACGACCGCGACTGCACGACCGTATCTACTACAGCAGTACACATCGGCCATGTGCCCTACGATAGAGAACGCACAATGCCATCAACACTCTGCTCCCCTTCACGCGATCTCGACACCGCCGATGGCAGCTTCGACAGCAGCCACAGCGCTGGCTTAGACTCGCTTACCCACATGCATCGGCGGTGCCTTGTAGTCCGCCATAGGCACCTAGAGGTTTTTGTAGAACCATGGGACTTCAGCTGACAGACAGGGCTGTGGCGCGATGATGTAGCGCTGAGAAGGCACACGATACTCCGGCGTACTCCAACCTGTCGACGACACCACGTAGCTGCACATGCTCCAGCAACTAGAGCGATAATATATTGTTTTACCGAACTGCGGAGTGCACGCACTGTTCGCCAGCAGGGCGCCCGCCGCCTCAAGAGCGACCGAAGCTTCGCGTTGAAGAACCCATTTCATAGGAATACCTCGCCCGAAGGCCTCTAGCCCGACATGCGAAGCTACACGCTCGAAGAGAGAGGGAATAACAAGGACACACAGCCATGACGGTGCGCGCTCTCTCTCTCTATGCAAGAGGCCCTCTCGCATCCGTCATGTTGGAAGCCGGCCACTGCAATGTGAGCCGCGAAGTCCAAGTCCTTTGAGACGCCGAAGGATACAAAATGTTCCGGAGGCCCCAGTCTCAGCCCCAGAATCTCGCTTGTATGCTTCGTTCAATTGGTTGTTTGTCAGCTTTGTTTGTCATGCGTTTTCCAAGAGAATGTTGTCTCTCCACCAATGGAAAAGCATTGACTTCTTCCAAGTCGACAGGATTGGACTTACTTGTTGCGCTTCCATTTTGCAGGCGGTTTGCCCCAGCCTCCCAAGAGGTTGCTGTAACGACGTGGATCCATATTCGGATCCCACAGCGACTCTCCAGGACGGAGCGGCATGTACTGCTCGTCGCCCCTGGGGCCGTCGGGAACCGGTTTCTTTCTCTCCACCTCTGCAGAACGAAACGGTGGGTATCGCTCGTTGACCTTGGGGGCGGTAGGGCCCGTCTTCTTCACCACCACCCTCTCCGCCTCTTTCGCCGCTGCCTTCTTTCGCTCTGCCTTCTCTTGTTCCGCCTTTTGTCGTTCCTCCCTCTTTGCAAGGGTGACGCTGGTAGGCTCGAAACCGCCCAGGTCAAAACGCTTGGTCTTGCCGTCGACGAGACGGTTACCACCGAGAAACATAGCGCCGTGGTGCGCGGAAGATCTCGAGTTGTCCATCTGATGTTATGTTAGCGTCAGTCAACAGTCGCAGGGGTTGAAGCTTACCGCGGCGGAGACGTGCGATGCAGATATATCTGTTATTATAAGTTAGTGTGCTATTAGGTCTTTGTTGAGCTTCTCCCTGAAGCAGGTAGCATTGTAGTCATAGGCAGATTGCTACCCCGCCGTCATGCTTGTGTATACTCGCGACGGCGCGACCGTGGTCCGATCGAATACCTCGAGGCGACTGCGAGACAGTCGAAGAGCATTGAGAAACTTACGGGTACTTGTGTGTCGGTAGCTGGGGTCCTTATTATAAGGGTGGCGTTGAGGGTGGTGCGGTGATTGTGTTAGGAGCACGAAGCAACAGGCAGATCTGCCTGGAAATGCTCGGACGATCTGTTTGCACCTCCGCACTCACCCCCATCACCTTGTACTTTGCCACCTCTTAGGAGCAGTACATGCGACGCCAATAGCCGCTGGCGCCCCCGAGATCCCTCTTGCTCATTGAGCCAGTTCGCCTCTCCGAAGGCAGTCCTCGCATACAGGTCAATTTCCCCAATTCCTGATACAGCTCAGAAGGAATCGCTGCTCAACAAGTTTCGCGAACGAAGACAGGCCATGTCCTGCTCACACAATACTTCTCGAGGAAGTCGACCGTTTCATCAGCGTCAGCTTTGCGTACAGGACTGATTGGTTAAGGCGGGGGATGCAGCAAACGGTTAGACCGCTATTCGGATATTTGATGGTGCTTGTAGTCACTCCTAGTCTCAGAATCACAGAAGGGAAGGTGAACTCAGGCTCCACAGAATGGCCTTGGGAAGCCTGCAAGAGTTACTATCTAGGTACTCCCCCGAAAGAACATGCCTATGGATCTTCTGACATGGTAGGCCGAGTCACACTCGTGCTCGCATAGATGCGTGGGTGAATGGTCCGGTATGTTATGACTTTCTCAAGTCCACCTCGACCGTTTCTTCAGTGTGATCTTCCAACTTTCACAGGAATATGACTTATCTTTAAGACTGAGATGTATGCCGGCGACACGGAAAAACTTCACTTGTGTAGCGTACAACGGGCTGGCGAGCAATGTCAAGCTCATTGGGCAAAGTCACTATCTAACACTTGTGGCTTGCTGCATAACACTTGCAGCATGGATCCACCCAAAGACGTTACGCACCACACACATAAGAATGCCTAGAGAGCTAGACATGTAGCCGAGTCAGCCGCCATACGCGAGGCTGTGCTGTCTCGCATGTAGTCTAGGCGAGTTGCTACAAAGCCGTTACCCTACAAAACTCGGGCCGACTGACTCCTTCAACTACAAACCATACCATTGCACTAAGCCTCTCATCGTGTTAAGACTTCTATCTCTGAGAATTTGCAAATGTTGTGCCTAAAGCCACCCGAAATTGGTGGCTTGTCAAAGTTAGCGAGACATACGTCATCACTCCCTGACTTCCCTGGCGTTGTCCACGCGACAACCCGCGCATCTTGGTTATCTCACATGCACGCCCCTCGTGCACATACCTGCAGGTAGATCTCCAGATCTCCAGATTTGATTTTCTTCTTTACACAACAGCATGCACCCAGACTCGTTGTTGTCTACTGCAGTCTTCACCACACTACCAATTGACTGACAATGAACGACCCCGGCCTCGACGAGCCAGCAGGCGCAGCAGCGCAAGATGTTAATGACACGGTCCACGACGAGGACGAACAAGCCGAGCAGGAAGAGCGGGAATATCTCGATCCAAGTTATGTCGCTCAGTACATCGAAATCGCTTTACGTACGCTGACAAACTCAGTCAATGGTGGTTTGCCTCCACAGCGAGTCCCCTCATAGCAGGAACATTCGGCCCCATCGCCAACGGCTTCTCCATCTGCGCTCTCGTAGAAAAATGGAGAGTGTACATTCCGCCTGGAAGCGACGAGGGACACGGCTCGAAGATTACCGATCCGAAATGGCTTATCGCGGTCAATTCGGTCTCGCTCGTCTTCGCTCTGAGTGCAAACATCAGTTTGCTGCTCAACATGTCGAGGAGGTTGACATTTGAGATTGCGCAACCTATCACTATCATCGGCTTCTATCTGGCTGGTTTCCTTCTGATGGCGCTCGTGGGGGTTGCTTCGTCATCTGTGTTCCGGATTCAGCCTATGGAAGAACATGCTCTCAGCCAAGCGTATTACTACGCTATCATCGCTGCGGGTATCTACTTCATTATCGCTTCGCTAATGGCCTTTACTGCTTTCGGGGCGTGGAAAGGGCATTACGCTAGAGACTTCCGACTGACGGCCAGTCAAAGGACGTTGATGCTGCAGACCATCGCGTTCATGGTCTACCTGCTTATTGGC